ACCGCACCGTGACGTCACTGCTGGAAGATGGCAGGAGGGAGGGGCTACTATATTTGGTCAAAAATGGCCGCTCCTAGACTCAGGGATCACGAAAAAAAAATATATATCATTTTTATTTTTCTACCTTTTAATGCTAAAGTCAATAAATCACAGCGGATGTATTAGTTTTAGGTATAAATAATGTCCTCCAGATGGATTTGATGAAGGAAGTTGAGGAATTTAGATGTATAACAAAGACCAGCAGGTGGTTGTGGAGAATGAGTCCTGTTGAGTCTTAGATGGGTGGACTGGACCAAGAAGTGACCAGAGGATTAACGGGACGCGTTGATGAGCTCTAAAAGCTGGATCACAGAAACTAAAGACAGATGACCTGGTTAGAATTGTCACTCCTGCTGGTCTCTGTTAGTCCAATGGGCTTCATGTGACAGAAATGTTAAAGAAATCCTTTTTTTTCCCAAGTTTATGTCAAGTTAAAGTACAACTAAAGTTAATCGCCTGAGACCGTTTGTACAAACTATGACTTTGGTTTCAGGTGCTCAAGACGTACATACTGTAAGTTTAGATTTATAAACTTAAATTAAGTGCATTTACCCCTAATTTAAGTCTGCTAACAACATGATCTGCCAATGGAATGAGTATTTTTACTCTTAAAATAAGATAATTGAATAATATGCACACGAAATAAGAGAATACAATATTTTTATTAGTTTAAATGTTAACTGTCTAGTTCCACTGGCAAAGGGTCTCACTTACCTCCTCAATTCAAGGAAAAAAATCGCATATTTTAAGCAAAGATTACACATTGAGATTTCATTTTTTTCAGTGCAAACAAGTTAGCTGTTATTTTTGTGGAAATAGACCCGCACAGGTCCTGGATGAAAGGTTAATCATCTTTCCTCTGCAGACCTGAACATTTGTACCAGTTTGGATCAGTCCTGTTTATCAGATGAGCCAAACCATAAAGCGATGGACGATCAGGACAGGCTGATGATAGAGTTGGAGAAGAGGAGCAGCAGCTCCTGTGGACGGTTGTTCTTCTTACCCTTCCTGTCTGTAAACTGTCAGCAGGTGAGTCGGCCAAAGTCAAGTCTCTAATGCCTCAGCTCTGTGTGAAATACTTTGTGTCAAGGAGTATCAATATTTAACTTGTTCTGTTTCTCCTTTAAGAATTCCAGCTAATCACCTGTTCGATATGACATTTACAGGACTTTCAATTAAAGTTATTCATTTTCTTTTTGCAGTGAAAAAAAGGCCTCTGACTCTCACCACCGGTCCGTCATGGTTCCCCCGTCAGGTGTTAAGCCCACTGAGGCATGGACTCATGTCTTTTGCTCAGGCCTGGCAGAGTCACATTAGATCACCCCAAGCCTGGGTCCAGAGATAGGTTCAGCTTTACCACGCAACTTCACTGGCCTAGTTTTTGTACTCACGAAGGACTTCCAACCGCTCTTTGTCTGACCCAACACACAGTCTTGGGATACCCTGCCAGGGACATTTAAGGGCACTTAGACCCCTTCACCATGTTAAAATGACTGTCTAAGGAAAGGTTCTCGATGGGAAAAAGATGCCTTGCCATCTTCAAGCCAGACGTTTACTTATAAGGCTAGGCTTAAAACTTTCCTTTTTTGATAAAGCTTAT